TACTTCGGTAACATACTGTTTCTGTGTTTTTGTAAAGTGCATGCAGAGTCTTTGTATTGGCTATTAAACCAAGGTCAGAAATAACTTGTTTATAGTTAAAAATCTGGACCTGTGCTGTGGTGCTTGAAGCCTTCCAGCTCCTCTAGAGTGGATACAGAAAGGTAAATCTTATCTTGAGTCATATGCCAGGATAATTTAGTTGGTAGGCTAGAGGTAGCCGATAAAGGTACCTTTGCTTTCAGGTGACCGGTATCTGCTGTGGCAATGACTTTTGGGTTGGTTTTTTGGTTTTTGTTTTGGTTTTTTTTTTGCCAGCTACTCTGTTTCAGTCTCAGTAGTGCTGCCTGCTGCTTTACACACATGTTCAAAATTTTAGGAACAAAAAACCCCCATAATCCATTCAAGCTTCAGCCAGGCTAGCTTTTTTTACGTTTACTGCTTCTGTGTTAGACCCAGAAGATGAACTAATGTGCTTGAAGGGTAGTCTTGTTTAGATTTTTTTGGTTTGTTTATTCCTTAAACCAGACAGTGCTTGCAGGAACTGGGAAGTTTGAAGACAAGTGTTTGCAGAAAGTGTAGTCTATTTTATTAATCCAGTTGATAGTGTTGAAGGCAGAACAGCAGAAATCAGTAAAGTCTTTAGGATTTTAATTTAAGTATCAGCAGGCAGTTATAAATTAGCAGGAAGGTGCCAGTCTGTGGCTGTGAAGAAGACAGTGAGAATTAACACTTTACTACGAACAAAGATTGACTAAAAATGGGCATGTTTTGCTCCTTAACTCCTGCCTTCCCTCTAGAATCTCTCCATCTAAAGCCCTACGTGACCTGGTTGAGCACTTCCTCTGCAGTGTTAGGCCATGCTATAATTCAGCTGTCTGTGTCCTCATGTCAGAGTTGAGGCACTGCTACGTACATGGTCTTTCTGCTTCAGTAAGGGCTGGAAGCAGACCATGCTCTTTTTCTCTTTGTTGGCAGTATTTTTCCCCTCTCTCCAGCCAAGTACCAGAACAGAGCTGCAGTACAGTGGTATCAATAAGTGCCAGGATTGTATTATGCTGATGGTGTGCTGTGATACTTCTCTGGTAACAGTTGATTCCTTCGCAACAAAGATAGAAGTTATTGTGGGCAGGATTTGTTACATCCTATATTCTTGTTTACCCAGGGCATGTGTATTTAAGGAAGCTGTGCAAATTGTGTATAGTGTTGTCCTTTTTAAGGACCGGATAGGCATTATCCCCAGCTTGTGTTCTAAAAAGTTTGTTTTCTGTTTGTTTTCAGTAACTAAGGTGCTGACAAGTTTTGACTTCTTCATCCTCATAAACATGAGTGAAGTTCAGGCTATGGTAGAATTCTCCGTGGAGCTCCACAAATTCTTCAATGTGGATTTGTTTCAAAGAGGGTAGGTAGTGCGTTCTTTCAAACTTTACTGTGGTGGATGGCTGATGGGAAGACCTTATTGGGTACTGTCACATAGTGTTGCTTCGTGTATTATTGACCATTTTTATAGTGATTTGAAAAATCTTTATTCCTTATTGGAAAGGTGTATACCTTCTAGGAATTAAATGCTTGAACAATTTGGCGTAAAACTTAATTTGTAATAAACTATTTTTTGTCTAATTGGAAAATAGGGAAGCTCTGTAGATTTGGAGGGGAGATTATATTCTTATCCAGGCCTTTCCCCTTTCATATCTTAATTTCTGTAATCCCTTTTGTTTGAAATATGATAGGTGTTTTGAATCTTTTAAAAATGTTGCTGCTGCAATTAACTTACTAATTAATCAGTTTGGCAGTGGAGAAATTCACCAGCTTCTTCCTCCTCACGGTGTGCTGTGCCTCCACAGTTACAGAAAACTCCATACTGCCTCATTAGACTCTCCTGACCTCCTCTTATTCCACCTGGTCTCTGTAGAAGGCTTTTTCACATTCCTTTCATGTGCTATTACCTGATTGTCCCCAGATTACTTTCTAAGGTCATCCTTTTCCATGGCTTTGTAGGAAATAATCCTTTGTAGCTTATTTTTGAATTATTAAAGATTATTGCTCATCTAGCGTAGTGGTACATTGCCCTTCTGTCAATCTTCTAACAGACTACGCTAAAAATACATGTCGGTGTTGTAGTTCTTGTGATATTTGTTTTAGATAAATCTGGTTGAGGCTGTGTCAGTGTTTACAGACAGAGAACAATATATATCAGTGTTGATTTATGATAGCTGCTTTTTCCAAAACATTGTAAAATAACTTTCCTTAGAAATATTTTAGTAATAAGAAAATACATTCTCATTTTCAACCTTGTCATAATTCAAGGCAGGTGGTGGGGGGTTATTTTTTTGGCAGGGATTGTTTTTGGGGGGGGAGGGGTTGACAGGGTAAGTTGTTGAAGGTAAAGTAACAGGAAAATTTAATTGCCTTGGGATGCATATAGTTTCTCCACCTTGTATTAACCCTCTGAGGTGGGTATTTTAGGGAAGAGTGATATAAAAAAAATAGGTAGAATGGGAAGGAGCTCAGGAGAAAGAGGCACAAAATACGGTTATAAAACGTATCTTGGCTAGCTAGCCTCTTGTCTTTGCGATGTTACTGTTAATTTTCATCTATATTTTATTAAGGCTAGCTTTTCTCTAAATTTGACCTGAAGCTGGTACTGACAGAAGTGATTGCCCTTTGTGCTTGCTACCGTTTGCCCTCAAAGTATATGCAACAAACTGCCTATATCTTTTTAGGAAAAATTGTAATTTCACTCTTCATTGGAAGAGGAGGATTAAGGAAGGCTTAAGAGGTCTGTAACAACACTGAGACTATTCTAATTACTTCAACAAAAAAGCACAGTCTGTTGAACTGTGTCCTTTTTTAATCTCTGAAATCAGTGGGGAAGGAAGGGATGGAATATGGCAGCATGTTACCTCTAATAGAGAAGAGCCTGACGAGAAGAAAGTCTTTTGGTTGTCTTAACCTTACAATTCAAATGATTCCTCAGAAAGGTAGTTGAGAAGCAAAGCACAGCAGTATAATTACCGGTGCTCTACTTGGCGTGTTTCTTTTTAGCTTACTCTTTAAAAACCAGTAAAATCACAGGGGGAGTTCAGAGAGGCGAAATGCTGACATGGTGAGAAAAATGGCATGAGTAGATACTACCTTTTTGGTTTCAAGCTGAACCTTTAACTCTGGGCACATTCCCTTAGAAATCAATGTCGGGAAGGGGAGGGAGCTTCCAGAATAATTCAAAAGACTGTGTCATGTGGCCATTGCAATAATTTCTATCCATTTGGTAAGTTCTAGTATTTTTCTAGGGAACTGTCTTTGTATTAATTTGAGACAGGATGTAATATTTACATTGCTGGTGGAGCTCTTCAATGATATATTGAATCAGCAGAAAACAAAATCTTCAGTTTCATAGAATCATATAATACTTTGGGTTGGAAGGGACCTTTGAAGGTCATCTAGTCCAGCCTCCCCTGCAATGAGCAGGGACATCTTCAACTAGATCAGGTTGCTCAGAGCCCCGTCCAACCTGACCTTAAATGTTTCGAGGGATGAGGCATCTGCCACCTCTCTGGGCAACCTGTTCCAGTGTTTCACCACCCTTTTCCTTATATCTAGTCTAAATCTTCCCTGTTTTAATTTAAAGCCATTACCCCTTGTCCTGTTGCAACAGCCCCTGCTAAAAAGTTTATCCCCATCTTTCTTCTATGCCCCTGTTAAGTACTGAAAGGCTGCAATGAGGTCTCCCCGAAGCCTTCTCTTCTCCAGGCTGAAAAACCGCAACTCTCTCAGCCTGTCCTCATAGGAGAGGTGCTCCATCCCTCAGATCATCTTTGTGGCCCTCCTTTGGACTCTCTCCAACATGTCCGTGTCTTTCCTGTGCTGAGGGCTCCAGAGCTGGGTGCAGTACTCCAGGTGGGGTCTCACCACGGTAGAACAGAGGGGCAGAATCACATCCGTCAACCTGCCGCCCATGCTGCTTTTGATGGAGCCCAAGATGTGGTTGGCTTTCTGGGCTGTGAGTGCACACTGCCAGCTTGTGTCCAGCTTTTCATGCACCAGTACCCCCAAGTCCTTCTCAGCAGGGCTGTTCTCAATCTCTTTATCCTCCAGCCTGTATTGGTACCAGGGTTTGCCCTGACGCAGGTGCAGGACCCTGCACTTGGCCTTGTTGAACCTCATGAGGTTCACATGGACCCAATTCTTTAGCTTGTGCAGGTCCCTCTGGATGGCATCCAGTTCCTCACGTGTCTCAACTGCATCACTCAGCTTGGTGTCATCCGCAAACTTGCCGAGGGAACACTCGATCCCACTGTCCTTGTCATTGATGAAAATATTAAACAGTGCTGATTACAGTTTGGACCCCTGAGGGATACCACTTGTCACCGATCTCCATCTGGACATTGAGCCATTGACCTATGGCTGTGTTTAGTATGGCTTCTCTCAACAAAAGCCAGGTGTAGAACTGATTGCATTCTGGGTCTGTTTGGGATTGTGTGCATTCAGGAATACTCAGCTTAGTGTACCTGTCTCATGTGTTAGAGGCTTAACTACCCTCTGAATTATGTAAAATAAAATGTTGGCTATTGCAAGTAATCACATCAAGCTGATCAAGCTCCTTCTTAAAACTTAGTAGATTTTTATCCAGAGTGTTTGGTTGGAGAGCGAGTCCAGATTCTCACTCTTTTGGTTATTGGAGAAGTCATAATTTCCAGCCTAAATTTCCTTATCAGTTTTTAGTAATTTGTTTTTCTTACCAGCGTTGTCCTATGCTTTGAATGACTTTATCAGTCTGAGTGTTCACTCTGATGTATTTTTAGATGTCAGTCTTTTGTCTCTTCTATTAAATATGAGCTGAATCAGTTTGGTCATTTGAATAGGTGGCACATTCCCCACCCCATCTCTTTTTCTGTAGAGTTTGCATATCCCAATATCCAATCAAAACCATTATTATCTCTTCCTGATTTTATAACTGTGAGAAGAAATATGCCAGCTGTTGCATCAAACCATAGCATGTTTTCTTAGATCTTTAACTGTAGTGACTCTATTGCCAGAAGCACTTATGACTGTTTACGCCTACAATTAATTTGGTACTTTAGAAATTAATTACTAGAAGCAGTGTTGATGTCCGTATATCTGTGTGCTTCCAGGGTTACTTCAGACTAGATTTAGTCTCGTCCTCTGGACCAGATGTTTTGCATCGTGAGTGTATTTTGAAATTGTTCATACCAGTAATTCTTTCATACTTTCTGTCCCTCCAGGGGTTGAAGTGCATTTTGTGACACGTAGATCCCAGCCTGTGGTTTAGTTTTCTCAGGAGACATCTAGGTTATGTGCATGGAAAGATCACAGTGAACTGAACCAGCGTGTAGCAAATGGGGATCATTGGGGGAAAGCGCCTCAAAACCACTCTGCTGATCCGAACCAATCAGCAGTGCAGACTCAGCCAAAATTTATTGTTATATTTCACTCAAGACCAAATTGATCTCAAGGGTCCTGTAACAGACTCACTGTTTTCCTAACTCATACTTTAAAGCAGACTGGTCATTTTCTCTACTTTTAGAGAACTCTTATTATTCTAAGCAAGGAGATAGACACAGAGCAGGCACTTCGTTCTCATACATAAGACTTGTCTGTGTGTGTACCTCCTTGCTGCTCGTGTGGTTCAAGAAAGGTTGTTCCTATGTCTTTGGTGATTCTGGTGGTTAGCTTCTGAAAGTTGCACTGTAGCTGTAAGTATGTAGTATAGTTAAAGAACAGTTAAGTAGTATCCTTACCTAATAACAGCTATTTCATTATATTTTCTTACAACTCTGTGCAACTTGCTTAGAACCAAACTTAGTCCAGGTAACTCTGTTGGTTTATTTTAAACTACTGCTATATTGAAATAAGGCTTCACATAGTTTTTAAACTAGTGAAATGTGATCATGGAAATTTTTGCCCAAACACTGATTGATATGTGAGTATCACGTGACAGAATGAATAAAAGAAATGTAATTTTTTGGGAGTTGTGAGATCGAAGGCTATTTTGTCGTCTTAGTTCATAAAAGCTCTGGTTAGATTTAGGCTCTATAGTGCTGACTTTTTATAAATACAAAGGGAAGCATAACACAACCTGAGTGAGATGTGGACTCGAGAAGTGGAGAATGAATTGGCTGGAAAACTGGTTGGATGACTGGGCTCAAAGAGTTGTCCTCAGTGGTGCAAAGTCCAACTTGCAGCTGATGACTAGTTGATTGATACTGGGTCAGTACTGTTTAGTGTTTTGGTTAACAACCTGGATAATGAGACAGAGTGCCTTCTCAGCAAGTTTTTGAATTACGACGATTTACAGAGAATGGTTAGACACCCTGGAGAGAAGAGATGCTTTTTGGAGGGATCTAGGCAAACTGGAGAAATGGGCTGATAGGATCCACAAGA